TTAAGAGCACCTAGTGATCTTTTTTGGCAACTCCGCAAGAGGAGGTTGTGGCTCATTATCCAACTATGGGTGGGTAGAATGCCCCAGAGTATCGCAGATGTGCCGTTGTCCATCTCGAAAGTGCACGACAATGGCGCTAGGGCCTTACAAAGTGATCTGATGGCGACTAATGTGAACTTATGGACGAGATATCTCGTGCATACCCATGGTACGCAGCGTAATTACGGCGTAGCAGCTAGTTCAAATACGCGTGGAGCCGTGAACCAAGCAAGACAGAAAACTCGTCCATTCCCGCCCTTCCTTATTCCAAGGAAGAAGGGGAAGTCCTTGTTCAAGGCCTTCACTAGCGCTTTGCTTAGGTTCATTTTCCATTTTCAATCTCTCGGCATCCTCAAATTCATTATAGACAACTTCGTCCCACCAATTCGATCTGGGGCTGTTGCTTTAACTTATTCATGCGAGAAGGGAAGATGTGGATTTCCTGTGCACTATGGCTGTAGATGTTGTAACTGTCTACCCTGTGCATATGTAGGTATCTATAGCCAATAGGTTTTGAAAGTTATTACGCCCTCCATCACATTTGCATTTTTAATGAGAAGTGAAGTGACGTGTTCAAAACGTTGAAATGAAGGGGACGAGTTTGCCTCTGGCTACTCTCATTCACTCACCATTTGGTTCCAGGAAGTGATGCGAATGGCTCGTCCGTCGAGATGCTGCTGTGGAGGTGAGCTTTGTCGATTGGATTGAATTTTTGGTGTGGAGTCAACCTCACAGTCTTCAGAAAGTGTTGATATTAGTGCTGATCCGGATAATTGCACAATTGAGGCGCCGCCTGGAAAGGAGGTAGGTCAAGGATTGCCATTTGGTCTACTTCGTAATTAGTAGTATTCACGAAATAATGAAGTAGGGCAAAAAGTGATTCTTCAAGTGGGTAGCAACCCCAATGCACCTAAATTGCAACGTACGTCGCCTTTTGACGCCTTGGATATTCTTGCTACTGATGACTCATTCTCACCTGAAATGATGACAGCTCATTTCAGATCGGCACCGTGGCCATGGACCGTCCTTGCTTCCTCAATAGATGCAACGTGAAGGATGCCAACAACCGAGTCATCCTTAAAATCGACAATGCTGTCGTTTGTTGTGGATGGAGTACAATCGATTTCCCGGTCGGTAATACCATAAGACTATATAGAACGAATTTGGATAGTTCAGGTGCCGATCAGAATACCAACGGCTTTGGAAAAGAATTCGTGCGCGACATTTCAGTGAGTGTGGCCGTAGCGAAAGGCGCGGTT